GTGCATCACATTCACATGCATTAACGGTTGCAGCAGGTGAGGGAAGAATGGAGATATGTAAATTCATTTTGGAGAATAGAGATGAAGGATTGGAGTTGGCATTATTAACACCAGTCTACACCAATGGTCATTTGGATGTTTTGAAATATTTAACCAAAGCAATACCATATGTCAAAGTGACACCAGATGCAGTATTGAATGCTTGTATAAAGGGACATTGTGATATTATTGAATTTCATCATCATCATAGAAAGGAGAGTTCATTAGATACATTCACAAGAGATTGCATGGTTGAAGCTTCAAAACATGGTCATTTAGAGATTGTCAAATTTTTACATTTCAATCGTAGTGAAGGTTGTACAGCAAAGGCGATGGATTACGCGTCAGAGAATGGTCATTTAGAGATTGTAAAATTTTTACATTTCAATCGTAGTGAAGGTTGTACGTTCAATGCATTGGAAAAGTCATCAGGTAATGGTCATTTGGAGGTAGTACAGTTTTTAATTGAAAATAGATACCCGCAAGCTATTGGAGGCGGATTTGGAAATGCAATTGAATTGGCCGCTTATAATGGTCATTTATCAATACTCAAATTGTTAATATCACATTTTAGGGATAATTTAACATTTGATGCTTTAAAATATGCATGTGAATCAAATCATCCACAATGTGTACTCTATTTATTGAGTGATGAATTCTCAAATGTTTGTCAACTATTCAGTTCACTTCAAATCTCGATTAAATATAATTCAGTTAAAATTGTAAACTATTTAATTGTTCATATCAAAAAACAATTGAAAAAACATGAAAACGAAAATGACCAACAGCAAGATCTTGAATTAATTTTAAAATTTGATTGGATTTCTTTCATTACTTCATATCAAAGATTTGAAATTTTAAAATTATTCGATAGTTTAGATTTTTTAAATGATATAACCAAAGATACCTTAAAAAAATCAATAGAAATTTCAATGTTTAATAATGATATTAAAATTTTAAAATATTTATCAAATAAAATAATAGTTAATAATAATAATAATAATAATAATAATAATAATAATAATAATAATAATAATAATAATAATAATAATAATAATAATAATAATAATAATAATAATAATAATAATAATAATAATAATAATAATAATAATAATAATAATAATAATAATTCAAATGGTTCAAATAATAATAGTGATAACGATAATGATAATATATTTTTAAATATAGATAATGAAATATTAAAAATTATATTTGAAAAAGGGTATCTTTTAATTATTAGATTTTTAAATGAGCAAATAGGTAATGATAATAGTTATATTGAAACATTTTTAAAAGAATTTGGTGAAAAGAATAATTTATTTATTAGAGGTTACTTTTCAACATTAATTTATTTATTTGAAAATTTTAATCAACCAATTAAAAAATTAATCGGAAATTGGATTTCAAAATCTTGTGTAGGAGATTCCAAATTAATTGAATATTTTGGTAAAAATTGGAAAAAAAAATAAAAAAATAAAATTACTATTATTTATTTACAATTTACTATTTATTATTTACTATCATTGTTATTTTTATTTATATTTTTATAAATTACTTATTATTATTATTATTATTATTATTATTATTATTATTATTATTATTATTATTATTATTATTATTTAAAAAATGAGGGAAAAAGAAATTAATTTCATCTATTGCTTCTTCCTCAGAACCAGAGCCATGAAAAGCATTTCTAGTATCTGATGATCCATATTCACCCCTTAAACATCCAATTTGTTCTCTAGCTTTATCTCTGTGTGTTGGTCCAATATAATCTCTCCATGGTTTTATACTACTTGTATTGTTATTATTGATATCATTATTGGTTTCTAAAGATTTATCAGATAATACTAGAGGTATTATATCACCTCTTGTCATGAATGATATTAATCTTTCATAAAAGAATTTTCCTCTATGATCTTTATAAAATTGTTCTGCTTCTTCTAATGATAATTTAATTTGTTTTCTTTGATGTATTATAAATTTTGATTCAATTTTATTTATTATTTTATCTAAATTTTGATTTTGTTTTACTAATATATCTGGTTTTATTATTGCAAGAGTATATTTAAATTTATTCATTTTTTTATTTACTTAAAAAAATAAAAAAAAAAAAAAAATTAAAATTTTGGTTTTAACTATTTCGGCAAACAATATCAAAAAAATAAAACAAAAAAAAAAAAAAAAAAATTAAAATTTTCATTGTTTTTTTTTTTTTTTTTCATTTTATTTTCTTTAATAACAAATAAAAGTTTTATAATATTATAATATATGTTTTCATAAAATAATGTTAAAGATTGCAAAAAGTGTTTACTTTAAACATTTAAACAGTTCAATCTCTAAAAATAAATGTTCAAATTTAGAATTACAATTTAAATCATTTTATTCTACAACAACAGCAATAACGACACCACTAACAACAACAACAACAACAAAAAAAAATACTAAAAAAAAAAAAGAATTGGCCGAGGAATTATTTGAAGAGGAATTATATTTAAAAGAATTAGGAGAGAAAGATCAAGAAATTGATGAAATTAATTTAGAGAATGAAAATATATTTAAATCAAAACTAAATGATACATTAAAGAAGTTAGAGGAAATGAAATTTAATTTCAATGAAGAATTAGAGATTTTAAAGGGTAGAGAACCTCAAGTTTATTCAAAACAATATGGTTTAAAAGATAGAAAACAATGGTCATTATATCATAAGCCTAATAAATCAGTTTTGTGTGCTCCAATGCTTATTGGTTTTGGTTCAAATAAAAAAAAAACAGAAGCTATTCAAATTGCATTTAGTCACCCAAAAAAATTCCATTTCCTGCCATATGCAGCTTTAAATAATATTTTTGATTGGGGTGACAATAATAGTTTAATTTTCCTTTTTAATTTTATTGCAAAGTAAATTTTATCATCATAAACTATAACTCATAGTCACTATTTTTTTTATTGACTACCTTTATTATTATTATTTTAGAAAATTAAATTTTGAAAGTTTAGATGATTGGTATAAACAGGATTTTGGTCAAATTGCAAATACTTTTTCACTTTCAAAATTCTGTTTACGTTGTGCTCCAATCTTTTATTTTTCATTTTTATCTCAAATTTATCCTTATCATAATTGGGATATTAGAAAGTTTCAACAAATTAAATTAGGAACCATTTCTCATGTGTTTGAAAGAATGTTAAAAGAAGATGGTTATATTAGTCGTGTTCAAAAATATCCACCTAGAAATTCAATCGATATAATAACACCTATAGCACCATATCATCATCAGCTTTATAGAGAAAAGTTGGGGGGTACATACTTCTATTTTTTATCTAAGATGAAGATAAAAAATTACCTCTTTGTATTGGATCCAGAGATTCTACTTTTATTTGGACATTTATCATTGTATCAAATTGTAGATAATAATAATAGTAATAATAATGATAATAATAATTATAATAATAATAAAAATAATAAAAATAGTGATAATAGTAAAAATAAAAAAGCAATCCACAAAAAATTAGTCAATAAAAATACAATTATACCAGCTTTAAGACAGATGTCACCATTTAAATTGGATAAAGAAAAAGTGTATAAAATTGAATTTAGTAATAATAAACCATTTATTTTGGATAATTCAATTTTTAATACGATTTGTTTGATTTGTGAAGTTTTCCCTTATCTAAAACCATGGTTATTCAAGTATCAAGATGAAGACTCTGAAAAACAAACCTCTCAAAAATTGATCAAAGAGATTAATGAGAGATTCAATATCAAGGAACCATCTCAATGGTATGATTTAACCTATAATGAAGAGTTGGAGGAACTTTTACCAAGCGAATGGTACCATTGTTTCAATTTTATTCAATATCTTAATATAGAGTATCCATCATTTGTTTTTGAAGCAACTAAATTCAAAGATGAGAAAGTTTATGAAAAATTTTATATGACTCATTCTCTTAGATCCATTACTTCGATTGTTAATGAACTACTCTTAGCCAATGGTAAGGATATTAATAAATTGTCAGATTGGTGTCATATTGGTCTCGTTGGTGAAGAGGAATCACTCGAAAAAATTCGACAGTATAAACTTCCTTTTAAAGCTGAATACATTCATAAACTTATACCTCTCGTTCATCTAAAACATGATAGATCACCAAATGAATATATGCAATTATTAAGAGACATGGTCACAAAAGAAAATATGCCAATGGAAGATTTATATTCTTACATAATAGAATTTGAATTTCCTTTAGGGAATAATATTTTTGGGAGCTTTATTGATGTTAATAATTTACGCACTGCATTTCCAAACTTGGAATGGGCAACCTTAAAATTCCCTTTATCCGAACAAGAAGTTGAGCAACTAGGTAACCTTAAAGTCGCCACCGAATATTATAATTATATAAAAAATACCTCCGATATATCCCATCCATTGGATTTGATATCATACATCAGTAAAAGTAATTCCTATGTAAACAGAAAGGCCAATAAAAAATTTGTTCAATTTGGACTCCTTAATATATTCTTTGAATCAGTTGGAATCAAAGATTTTCCAAAGGTTAACACTTTTCCACTTGATAGTTCTTTGGTAGATAGTTATTTTAGAAAGGTTTTAGAGTTAGGAAATGGTAAGTTTTCTTTTTAAATTTTTTTTTAGCACTTTAATTGATCACATTGTTAACATTTTCTCTTTTCCTTTTTAATTAGAAGATATTGGTATAGATATTGATAGATTTACTGTCTTCTCAGAATTACAAAAACATGTTAAAAAATAAAAATTTCGAAGGAAACCCATCAAAAAAGACACCTTGGCCATGTTTTTTTTTTAAAATTATCTATTGACTATTGCTAACCGAAATTTAATTCTATTTATTATTTTATTTAACGTCTTTATTTAGATCTAAAACACATGTTTTTTTTTCAATATTAATGATTATTGTATGACCTTTTTTTTTTTTTTTTTTTTTTTTTTTTAATAGGAAAAACCTATTCGAAAAAATAGTGAAAGCTGTCTTAACAACCTTCAATTCACGGAGGTATTTTAGTAAAAGGCGAAAATCCTTCTCGTTATGGAATTGAAGGCACGACGCAATAATGTTATTTTTTTTACCTACTATTAAATAAATTATCGTGGCTGTTGTGAAGGTCTAGGAGTCGAACCCGCGACCTAAAAATTATCGGCTTGAAATTATCGACATCGGCAGGGTTCGAACCTGCGCCTCCGAAGAGAATTGATTTCTAGTCAATCGCGTTAGACCACTTCGCTACGATGTCTTTGATGGAAAGAGTTGAAAATATAGGTCTATTTATAATTTTTGTGGGGGCTTAGTGGTTTCACACAGAATAACACAGCCTCCATGGCCTTGGTTCAAGTCTTGGTCATACCACGAATTAACGTGGTCACAGAAAAAAAAATTTTAAATTAAAATAATTAATAAATAAAAACTAGATTCGAACACATCCAATTGGATGAGGTTATTAAAAATAAAAAAAATTATTATTTTTATATGTGAAATGATATGGACGAGAAGAAATAAAACATAACGTATTCGCCCCAATAATAAATATGCAACAAATCACAAACAAACTCAAAAAGCTACAACACGCCGCATGGGATAAAACCCTAAACGACATTAACAGATTGATAAGAAAATGAACAATCTATTAGTAAAAAATCATGAGAATACCCAAATTTCCATCACCATAATTCAACTAAAAATCAGAAGGTTCAGCAAAAACTGGAACTCAAAACTACACTCCATCAAACTACCCAAGCACCTAATACAATACAACACATCACTAAACAACCTACAACTAATTAAAAAAAAAAAAAAAAAAAAAAAAAAAAAGAATAACAACAATAACAACTCACCACATTAAAAAAAAAAAAAATTGAGACTGTAAAAAAAATAAAACAAATAAATCCGGGTTCTATCCCCGAGGAGAAACAGCTTAAACTGTAATATCCAATTTAAAACAAAAAAAAAAAAAAAAAAAAAAAATTATTTTTAGATAGGTTGGCAGTTTATTTTTATTTTTCGAATAGATATTTTATTTTTTTAAATTTTTTTTTAATTTTTTTTTTTATTTTCTTTTATATTTTTTATTTTTTATTTTTTTATTTTTATTTCTCTTATTTTCGTATCTTTAAAAAATATTATATTTTTTTAATTTTTTTTTAATTTTTTTTAATTTTTTTTATTTTTTAAGGTTTTATCCCATGCGGTGTGTTTAATCTTTTTTGAGTTTATTTGTGGTTTGTTGCATATTTATTATTGGCTAATTCGTTTCGCATAAATAATTTGTCACCAAAAAAAAATATGACGAACGAATGATGCCATCAAACCTATTGTTTAGTCCATGTGTTTTTTCAGTGTGAAATTATTTAGTAAAAATTTTTTTTTTTTAATACCCTCATTTAGTGAAAATTTTTTTTTTTTTTTTTTTTTTTAATAACCTCATCCAATTGGATGTGTTCGAATCTAGTTTTTATTTATTAATTATTTAAATTTAAATTTTTTTTTTCTGTGACCACGTTAATTCGTGGTATGACCAAGACTTGAACCAAGGCCATGGAGGCTGTGTTATTCTGTGTGAAACCACTATGCTAAGTTTAGTGAAAATTAAGTTGTTATTTCACAAAAAATAATAACATGGTTTTATAGTGTAATTGGTTAGCACCCAGGACTTTGAATCCTGTAATCTGAGTTCGAGTCTCAGTAGAACCACTTTTTAATCGAAACGTAACCTGAGATCAAAGGTTCGACTCTTGGAGGAACTATAAAAATTGGATGAGTTAAAACTACCGGGGGCTTAACGTAGTGGTTCTCTTGGATGAGTTAAACTACCGGGGGCTTAACGTAGTGGTTCCACGCTGAATCACAAGCCTCCGTGGAAAAAAGCTCGACCTCCAAAAAAACAACATAAAAAAAACATGGTGATTAGAAATTCTAATCCCAATAATATTAAAAAAAAAAAAAAAAAAAAAAAAAGTAGCTCTGCCTGTCGGCGATTATATAAATTGTATCAATTATATAGAACAGGTAATAAAAAAAAAGACTCTTGGATCCACTTAAAAAATTAAACAGAAGGTTGTAGGAGTCCTTTGATAACACCATAACAAGCCTTGGCCGCAACCAAACAACACTATCAACTTCGCGTACCACTGACAACCTCAGGGGTATCCTAACTTCAATATCATATTTCCATTTAAATAAAAACCACGTTACAAATATATAAAACAAAATGCTATACAATATATAAAAAAAAAAATTAAACAAAATAGATTATAGTTATCTTTGAATTAAAAGATTAGATTAAACCCTACACCAAAAAATATTTAAATAAATATTTTACAAATAGAGAACTGTTATATAATTAAAAAAAACAAACTACTATGGTTGTCTGGTATTAAGTGTATAGTTTTATTAAAAGTTTAAATTATTATTAAAATCATCAACTATTAAAGAATTTAAACCATTAAATGATAACCCAAAACAATTTAAAAATTTATGGTGAACATCGCATAATTTGAATTGATTTTCGATACGTGGATGATTTTGTTCCATTTTTTTTATATATAATAAATATTCTAATAGAGAATTATTTTGTAATTTTACTGAAGATTTTAAAATCCCAATTAAATAGTTACTATAATTATTTTTAGAAAATAGAATGAAATCAACTAATTTTATAGAGAAATAATGATCACTTGACTGGATGAAAGTTTCAAAAATATATTCGATTTCTTTTTCATTGAAAAAAGCAATAGAAATTAGATATAAAATTATACAAGGATTCGAAGCCATTAAATCATGTATCAATCTTTTTTTAAATGAATTGCTTTTGTTTAAAACCAATTGTTTCTTCAAATATTGATCTATAAAGAAAATCCAATTATTATTTATACATAAAAATAGAATGTTCAAAAATTCATTCTTTTCGAACTGTAAAGGATTTTCAGAAGTTGAAATTTCAGTGGACCACTTTTTTAAAATAAAAGGAAGATTCTTTTTATTTGATTTCTCTACACTTGTGTATAAATGGTGATTAAAAGTTTTTGTTTTATAGTCAAAGGTTTTTTTAGCGATGAAATCATCGAAATAAGGTAGGTTATTCAATTTATTAAAAAATTTAAACCTTGATACTCTACAAAGAGGTGGAGATTGTAATATTTTCCCAAACATTATTTCCAATGAATTTTGAATATCATTTTTTATCTTTAAAGATTTCAAAATTTCCAATTTTAAATTATTAAATATTAATTGATGATCATTCTTTATTGAAAATTCTAACAAAGAAAAAAAATTGAAAAAACCTAATTGTTCATTAGAATACAAAAGACTCTTAAAATGATTGTCCCAATAGTTTTCAAATAAATAATTTACAATCTCTCTATGGTTTTCACATGCAGCCGAAATTAATAAAGTTAAAGGTGGTTTATAGTGCTTTGTATATAGTTTTACTAAAGGTAAATCATTGGAAATAGTAACTATTTGATTTGATTTATAGATCTTTTGAAGATCTATACCTTTATCTATAAAAAATTGAAACTTTTCAACGGTTTGATGTTTGGGTGATGATATTCTCCAAATTCTTTTTGGTGCTCTCTTAAAAAGTTCTACAGCATTAGAAAGATCATTACGAATGCAAGATGGTGAAAATTCGATATGGTTTATTATTGAATCAAAAGCTCTTGAATTTAAAATGAAAAGAGCAACATTTGGATCTCTAACTATAATTTTACTAATTATATTACTCTTTAGTTTCTTTATAAAATCATCAGGCAACGATACCATAACTTTTAAAAGTACTACCATTGATGATTCCATTAATTGACATGGTTTAATTTTAAATTGGTCGATGGTTTTAATTGAAACTTTTATTTCATAAACATTTATTTTTGAATCAAATGGATCCATTGCTGAATTAAATTTTTTCTTAAAAATTTCTAAAACTATTTTAAACATATATTCATCACTATATACTATAATCTTTTCTAAAAAAGCTTTATTATTTTCATTTGATTCGAATAATCCAATTTTATCCAACACCATTGTTCCAAATTCTTTTGACAATTTCATCTCAACAATTTTTTCTAAAATTTTAAAAAATGAAATTTGTTGTTGTTGTTGTTGTTGTTGTTGTTTTTGAGAGGTTATTAAATCTATTAAAATTTTAAATCTATTTTTAGATTCATTTATATGACCATTGTTTGAAGGAAATGAAAATTTTTCTAAATTTTTACAATTACAAAATGTTGGATTAAATGTATCTACAATGAATTTCAGTGTTTCATAATTTTCTATTGCCACTAATAAACAATCTGAAGAATCTGAAACTATTTTGAATTGTTGTTCAATTTCAAACTGAAAAATTTTATATATCTTATAAAATAATTGAAAATCTAATTCCTTCCATTTAAATAGTTGATATAGGCAATCATAGTTGAAATTTATAAAATGTTTATAATTATCGCCTTGAGGATTTTTAATTAGAAAATTTAATTTCTCTAATAATAATACTTCATTTCTTGTTTTAATTATTAATGGAATTGGGAATTCATAATAATTGTATGTTAAATAATTTTGATTACTAATTTTTATATATTTAAATATTTTTTTCCTTAAAAAAGAATTTTTATAAACTTTTAAAAATAAATCCCCCATTCCTTTTGTCTTTTAGTGTAAAAAAAAAAAAAAAAAAAAAAAGAAAAAAAGAAAAAAAAAAAAAATTATTAAAAAAAAATTAAGAAAAAAAAAAAAAAAAAATTTAAAAAAAAACAATATTTAAAAAAATTGTCCCTTCATTTTTATACACATATTATAAACTATTTAAGTTTATAATATATATATATATATATAATTTAAACATAATATATATATACATGTTTTATGATATTAGATACAATCTGCATTTGGTTTACAAAATAAAAAAAGTGGGGTAATTTTTTTTTTTTTAAAAACACCCAGAAAAAAAATTAATTAATTTGTTAAAAAAAAATTTCAAATTACAATTTATTATGATTATTTTTGTTATTGTTTTTTATTTGGTTTTATATTTGAAAAAGAAATAAAATCCTTTGTATAGTAGTTTAATTATTATTTCAAGAAAAATAATTTTTTATTTTTTTTGTATTTTTTTATTTTTTTTTATTATTTATTTAATTTTTTTTTTTTAATTAATTAAAAAATTGTAATATACATTTAATTTTTATTATTTGAAGTAATATTTTTTAACTATAAAATCCAATCAGACAGTTCATATTCAAATACTTGAAAAATATCAGATAACAATGATTTTGATTGATCCAATTTTTTAATACAAGTAATGAATCTTTATATTCACCAGTGGTCATTGGTTCAATTCCATTCTTTGGATCCATCCATGTGTGTGATCTTCAAGAAGTTTTAATAGTTCCTTTTGAGTATGGGCCTTTGAATAAATTATAGTTGACCAAAATGTATAATTAATTGCAGGGTCATGTTTATAAATTTCAGATAATTCATCTTTTAAAATTTCAAACTCTTTTGATAACATCCATAAAAATTAAATTTATCCTTCCGAAACAAGATTAATTATAACAGGTTGTGGACTACAAACACTCAATTGGGTATAATTCTTTAAGTAACCTACTTTTTTGAAAAATATTTTTAAAATTTAAAAATTTACTTTTTTAATTGGTCGACCAACACCATCATTTTCAACCAATGTGTTTATTCCAATAACCCCACCATATGATTTGAATATATTCCACCACTTTAACCATCAATTGAATCTTGATTTATAATTCTAATGTCAATTTGAAATCCCAAACTTAATTGTCTCCATATTAAATATATTTGTAAATCATCAAAATGTTGATGTTGATGTTGATGTTGATGTTGATGTTGATGTTGATGTTGATGTTGATGTTAATGTTGATGTTTAATAATGCATTCTTAAATATGATAAGAGTTGGGTGAAAAAAAAAAATTTCAAAGGATTTGATATAAAAAAAAAAAAAATAATTAAAAAAAAATTAATTAAAAAACACAAATAAAAAACTGAACTGTGTTGTGACTAAAATGGATATTTATTATATTTAAATTAACATTGCCAACAATTTCGACAAATAAAACATTTTTATTTTATAAAAAAATTGTTGTTTTTAATTATTTTTTTTTTAATTTTTTTTTTTTTTTTTAATTCTTTTATTTTTTTTTTTTTATTAACCACTATTGTTTGTGTTTATGGCTGAAAAAGAAATATAATCCTTAATATCATGGATTTTTTGTAAGAATAAATTATTATTTGGACAAGAAGACTTTTTTGATAAATAATCAATATTTAAATCATTAATTGATAAATAACCAATTGAAAATAATTTGATTAAAACCTTATGTAAAATAAATCCTCTACCAAATTTTCTTTCCAATCTATTTGAACAAAATGATAAATCTATTAAAAAACTACCATTATAAATGGATTTAATAAGAAGTTCATTTGAGAAACCAAAAGAATTAATTTGAGATTCAGTAAAGATAACAGAGTTTAAAATACCAAAACGAGCTATATTCAATTGAATGAATTTCGTTCTCCATTTCTCATAATGATTAAAATTAAATTCATTTGAAGTCAATTCACCAATTACAAATTTAGAATCAAGTTTATTAATATTATTGATTGAACTATATATTTTACCTAAAATTTCTTCAATAGTGTTTGATAAAACATCTTGGTATACATT